AGGTCACACGATCAAGGCCAAACAAGGGAGACTGGGACGGAAGCCCAGGATGCCAGGCCACTGGCTCTCTGTCACCCGGAATCACTGGGGGTTGGTATCTTTACTTTTGGAGGGTCTGTTTAGTCTACAAAATATGGGTGTGGCCTAAGATCATGTGGGCACGTTCAGAGGGGACCACACACACAGGAGGGGAGGACCAAGCTGGGCGTGAAATGCCCCCGGACAGGAGAGATGGGCTCTTCACTTGGGCGCTGGTTTAGGCTGGATTCATGAGCAAGGGGAGGAGAAAAGTAGAGGCAGGGCCCACAGTCAGGGAGGGACAGAGAAGAGGTCCAGGAAGGGGACTTCCTGGGCAGTGGGGACACCCATCCCACACTGCCCATGGGCCGAGTGCAAGTTCTGCCCCTGTATGCCCCGAGGCCGTCTGACTCCAGGCCCTCGGCTTGTCCACAGCCAGCTTGGCTCCTTGCCAGGCCAGGAGGCTGGGGCAGAAGGTGTCGCCTCCAGCTGTGGCCAGTTGTGCGTGGCTTTGTTCTTAGGGGAGGATCAGGCTGAAAAATTTGGAAATTCTAAAAGGACAGAGCTGGCCTGGGTTAAGATGAAGGGAAGGGAAGATGAGAGCTGGGGTCTATGTGGGAAGCCGCTGTGAAGCCCTCGGCTCTGAGAGCAAGGAGCTCTTCAGCAACAGCTCAGGATGCCGAAGGCATGGCTAGGCCCCTAATTCAGCGGTTCTCAACCTGTGGGTCGCGACCCCCTTGGCGGCCGAACGACCCTTTCACAGGGGTCGCCTAAGACCATCCTGCATATCAGATATTTACGTGACGATTCATCACAGTAGCAACATTACAGTTACGAAGTAGCAACGAAAATAATGTTATGGTTGGGTCACAACATGAGGAACTGTATTTAAAGGGCCAGAAGGTTGAGAACCACTGCTCTAATTCCTGCAGGTACTGCCCTCGGGATTTCAAGGCACTTATGGTGTCAATGACTATGTCTGTTCTCTGCTTGATCTCTGCTTTTCAGCCATTAGCCAAACACATAAAATCCCTAATCCAGTCAGTGAGTTGTTTTATAACTAGAATCTTCTTCCTCGGATTTATCTTCTCTTTCAAAATGTGGGGTTTTGTGCCCGGCTGGCATGGCTCAGTGGTTGAGCGTCAACCTAGGAACCAGGAGGTCACAGTTTGATTCCTGGTCAGGGCACAGGCCCAGGTGGCGGGCTTTATCCCCAGTGTGGGGCATGCAGGAGGCAGCCGATCCATGATTCTCTCTCATTATTGATGTTTCTCTCTCTCTCTCCCTCTCCCTTCCTCTGTGACATCAATAAAAATCTTAAAAAAAAAAAATTGGGGGGTTTATAAACTGAATTTTCTGAAGTGGTTATATATATAGAAGAATAAAAGGAGGAAAGCAAGCTCAACTCTTCATATCTCCCAAAGGAGTTACTGCTATATACTAGTCAGGGTTTTCTGTGCGCCAGGCACTATCTTAAGCCATTAAATACATTATTTTATTTAATCTTTACAACCACTCCGCATGGCAAATACTATTATTTTATCCCCCTCCTTAGGGATGGATTCAGGTTTTTTGTTTCATTTTACATATATTTTTATTGATTGCAGAGAGGAAAGGAGAGGGAGAGAGAGATAAAAACATCAATGATGAGAAAGAACCATTGACCTTTTAGTCCGCAGGCCGACGCTCTATCCACTGAGCCAAACTGGCTTCATGGCCTGGTCTGCAGATGCAGAAACCAAGTCCCTGAGAGGCTAAGCCATTTATCTAAGGTCACACAGCTTGTAAGAGGGGAGGGAGAACTTAAATCCGTCTGCCCAACTCATCATACTACCCCTCTCTAAGAATGAGAATGCACACACGGAGCACTGACTAGATGCCAGTTCTGTCCTAAACATTTCACATATTTTATTTTTTTAAGTATTTTTTTAATTGACTTCAGAGAGGGAGGGAGAGGGAGAGAGAGATATAGAAACACTAATGATGAGAGAGAATCATTGATTGGCTGCCTCCTGCACAACCCCCATTGGGGATCAAGCCCGAAACCCGGGCATGTGCCCTGACTGGGAATTGAACCGTGACCTCCTGGTTCGTAGGTCAACACTGAACCACTGAGCCATGCCAGCCGGGCAGCACTTTACATATTTTAAATCATTTAAATCTCACAACTAAATGATGTAGGTATTATTTTTACTCCTCACTTTTTTTTTTTAAAATATATTTTATTGAATTTTTACAGAGAGGAAGGGAGAGGGATAGAGAGTTAGAAACATCGATGAGAGAGAAACATCGATCAGCTGCCTCCTGCACACTCCCTACTGGGGATATGCCCGCAACCAAGGTACATGCCCTTGACTGGAATTGAACCTGGGACCCTTGAGTCCACAGGCTGACGCTCTATCCACTGAGCCAAACCTGTTAGGGCTTTACTCCTCACTTTTATATAAGAGGACATTGAAGCACAGAGAGGTTACGTAACTTGCCCAAAGTCACACAGCAGCAAATGGGAACCCTAAGACAGTGAGAGAGAAGAACTGGTTTGCCAAGACCTAGAGTTTGAGTTTGTAGTAAACAGAGCCTAGAAGGTACACCTTCAGACTCCTTCAGTATCCAATGTTCTTATAAAGAAAACTGAACCGGAACTCTTGCTTTATGGCATCTCTAAGATCTTAACCTCTAACCCCAGCCAAATCCCTGGCCCACAGCCTGACTTTATGTCAAAAAATCTGCTACACAGAACCAGCACTTAAGACTGGATACATTTTACCCTAAAGATATAGGGTGGCGAGTTTATACTCACAGCAATCCAGTGAAGTATTCACTGTTACCCTTGTCTTTTGTTTGCCTAACTCAAATTCTATTTCTTAATATATAGTAACCAAATTTTCAAAATTTTAAAGCTCCAAAAGGTACACTCTAAAAAGTTTCTCTTGCTCTGGCCAGTGTGGCTCAATGGTAGAGCGTCTGCCCTTATACCAAAGGACTGTGGGTTTGGTTCCCCAGCTCCAGTTGGGGCAGCTCTGGGAGGCAACCAATTGATGCGTCTCTCTCACATTGATGTTTCTCTCTCTCTCCCCCTCCCTCCCTTCACCTCTCTCTTAAAGTCTATGGAAAAAATATCCTCGGGTGAGGATTAACAAAAAATAAAAAAAAAGTTTCTCTCCTCCCCCTTCCCGGAGGCCACCCAAACAGCCCATTTTTTGTTTATCGTTCCAGAAACACTTTCTGCACACAGGAGCAAACAAGTATAAATATTGGGCACACTATACATACCTTGCCTTTTTAACTTCACATCAGGGTCTATGGTCATTATTTATTTATTTATATTTACTTATTTTAATGTATTTTATTGATTTCAGAGAGAAAGGTAAAGGGAGAAACGTCAAGGATGAGAATCATTGATCAGCTGCCTCCTGCACGCCCCCCCCATTGGGGATCGAGCCCGCAACCCGGGCATGTGTCCCTGACCAGAATCGAACCCGGGATCCCTCAGTCCACAGGCCGACCCCTCTATCCACTGAGCCACACCAGCCAGGGGTATAGTCATTATTTTAAATATAAGCGGACCCCGTGGTTCCCAGGGGTTATGGAGCCTGGATGGTGAATGCAGGTCTCTCAGAATGCAGAGCCCATGAGGCTTGAACTCCAGGAGGGAGCATCCGCTGGCCTGGGCTTCCTGAATGTGCCAATTCAGGGCCTTTCCTCAATGGGCTCCGGGCAGCTCCCATCGCCACACCTCCCAGTGCCAAGAGAGCTGGGAAAGAACCAACCAATGGCTGGGCCTGGCAGAGGGTTCGAGGACCTGGAGAAAAAAAGGGTTTTGTTCTCCACCCCCTGCAGACTGGCAGAAGTTGGCTTGCCCGGCCATGCTGCCATTGGCATGACTCTCTGTAAGAGCAGAAAAGTTTTCTCTTCCTGCCAAGACCTGGTGGCAGCCCCCCGGTGGGTCCTGTGGTGGCCCCTCCAAAGGGCCCGGCTCCCACGCCTCATTTCCCTTTGACGGCCTGGCTGGCGATGGGCAGCTGGCCTGGCTGGCGATGGGCAGCTGCCGTGGCGCCTGCCAAGGCCTTGGGACCTGGCCTCCCCAACAATATGCATCTGCTCCCATGTCTGGATCTAATTGCCACCTGGGAAGGAACTCTTGGTGCCCGAGTCCCATGCCAACTGGCTCTCTGGGCTTGGCGTGGGGGTAGGGCCGGGGAGATCTGGCCAGCTGGGCTAATGAGGAAATGTCGCTGGTAGTATGAGAAGGGAGAAACTTTGCTGCACCTTCCAAGGTTCTCTCGGCTGGTCTAATGATTAAAATGACGGGAGGCAGATGAATGAGACAAAACGACCAACTTTAACTACAGACGTGCACATAGGAAGCCCACGTACCTGAGAGAGGCTCAGAGACAGAAGGAAATGGAGGTCTATCCCACATTCGGAACTAAGGATGCGGGAAAGCGCCTAGGGCTACAGGGGTGGGGGGTAGGGGTGGGGAGTGGGATGGGAAGGTCTTTCTCTCTCTGCTCAATAAGAGCAGATGTTCACGCTGGTGGGGTAGCTCAGTTGGTTAGAGCTTCCTCCCGATAAGCGGAGGTTGCCGGTTTAATCACCAATCAGGGCACCTTCAAGAATCAATCAATCAATGAATGCATAAATAAGTGAAAGGCAAGTCAATGTTTCTGTCTCTCTCTCTCTCTTTCTAAAACCAATAAAGAAAATTAAGCCCTAGCCAGATTGGCTCAGTGGATAGAGAGTCGGCCTGTGGACTGAAGGGTCCTGGGTTCGATTCTGGTTAAGGGCACGTACCTCGGTTGCAGGCTCCTCCCTGGCCTGGGCCCTGGTCCGGACTCATGCAGGAGGCAACCAATCCATGTGTTTCTCTCGCATGGATGCTTCTCTGTCTCTCCCTCTCTCTTCCACTCTCCCTAAAAATCAATGGGAAAATATCCTCGGGGGAGGATTAACCAAAAATAAATTAATTAATTAAATCAGATGTCCAGTAATAGGTAAAAAAAAAAGGGGGGGGGCCTGGCTGGTTTAGCTCAGTGGATAGAGCGTTGCCTTGCAGACTGAAGGGTCCTGGGTTCGATTCCTTCTGGTCAAGGGCACACGCCCAGATTTTGGGCTCCATTCCCAGTAGGGGGCGTGCAGGAGGCAACCAGTCAATGATTCTCTCTCATCATTGATGTTTCTATCTCTCTCTCCCTTCCTCTCTCTCTAAAAATCAATAAAAATATTTAAATTAAAAAACAGAGGGGGCCTGGTCATAAGTCTTATAATGGGCAAAACCCTGAATTTAAATTCTTTAAGGGAGAGGTAAACATTTGACACCCCCCATCCCCTGTGGTTAAATGTGTATTTTTGCTTTTCCCTATAGAGGGCGCTATTTGCGGCCTACCTGTCACCTGCTCTCCTCCAGGGCCTGGTCTCAGAACCTCTCAGTCTGCAAGGTGGCGGGAGGCTGCAGGCAGTTTCTACTTCCGCTTCCGGTGTTTCCCCTGGGTGCCATCTCTGAGTCCAAGCTCGGTGGCTCCCGCTTCCGGTGCTGGCTGAGGGGAGCGCGGGGAGGGAGCCCGGGAGCTGCCCTCGTCTGACAGCTCTGCCGACATTCCTTTCCAGGAGGACCGGGTTCCAAACCAGGACTCACTGGGTTCGCTCTCAGGGCCTGGCCTCCAGGCCAAGGCGCCCTGAACAGACAGCAAGCGGGAGGTTTCTCTGCGCCTCGCCCACCCACTGTGACATGGGCACCGCCACCAAAAATTCCCAAAAAGAATATTAAATGACTGAGGCCTTCTTATTCCGCTGAACAGTTTGCAAAACGAGAAAACAGCGCCTGCGATAGGAACCGAAAATGAGCTCCCTCACTGCAAGGGGTGGCTGCCATTTATACAGAAACTTCACACCCAGGTTCCGGTTTACGTAGGCACGTAAAGGAGCCATTGCGCAGTCCCGGTTGGTCAGCATGACGCGATCTGATTGGTCAGATGGAGCAGTTATGATTGGTCCGTTTTAGATGCAAATGAGGATGTAGTAGAGCAGCTCTGATTGGACATGGCAGGTCAAAGTCCCTTGGTCAAAAGACAGAACCAAAGTCCTAGCCGGTTTGGCTCAGTGGATAGAGCCACGACCTGCGGACGGCAGGGTCCCGGGTTTGATTCCCGTCAATGGCACATAACTCCATTGCAGGCTCATCGATATTTCTCTCTGTCTTTCCCTCTCTCTAAAAATCAATGGAAAAATATCCCTGGGTGAGGATAAAAAGAAAAAAAAATGACAGAACCAGGAACTTCCCATGTGAGTTGACTTAAAGGGACACGAGCAAGCAGACAACGCGCGGGAAGCCAGGGCTCCATCACAGAATAGGTAAGAAGCCCCTGTCCAGGTTCTCATTATTTCTAAAACTTGGGCCCTCCGTTGACCGTGGAGGATTCCATCTCAGCGGGTCAGTTCCGCCTGGAGGTTCACGTCAAATGAATCTGTCTTCTCGGGGTTCACAACAGAATAAAGTGACTTGAAGGTGAGGGCGCCTAAATGAAGCAGGGAGAGAACAAGGCTACAGCCAAGTCTCCAATCAGAGAAATTTTGCTGGAAGAGCAGAAAGAGAGGGGCCT